GCAGGGGAGTGGGGCGGGCCAGCCATGCCAACACTGTGCCCTTGTCAACGGCAGGACCACGGGCGGAGCAGGCTGATGCTCTTTGAGCAGGAGAACTTCCAGGGCAAGCGGGGGGAGCTGAGTGACGACTGCCCCTCTCTGCCCGCCCTGGGCTGGGGCAGCAGCACCGTGGGCTCCTTCCTCGTCCTCTCTGGCGCGTGAGTACCCAGGGGCTGGCACCCTTCCAGGACCCAGCACCGGAGGCATGCACTAGAGCTGAGGATGCTCTGGCAGCTGCCGGCACCCTGCCCACTGCCCAGTGCCCCCAGTGCACGGTGCTTCATGGTGCTGCCAGCCTTGAGTTGCCACTGCTCTCTGCTCTGCTGCAGGTGGGTCTGCTCACAGTACCCGGGGTACCGGGGCTTCCAGTACCTCCTGGAGAGCGACAGCCACGCGGGCGAGTACAAGCACGTGCGGGAGTGGGGCTCCCACGCGCAGACAGGCCAGGTCCAGTCCATCCGCAGGGTCCAGCAGTGACCGCCGGAGCCACAGTGCCGCCACCTGCACACCCTGGGCACCATCTCTCCCGCGGGGCAGCGGGGGCAAAGCTCAATAAAGGCTCAGTTGTCCAAGGCGGCGCGCTGGCAGTCGGGGAGGGGGGTTTGTGGTTGGGAGCAATGCCATGCCCAAGGCACGTGCTCGAGGGGCAAGGATGAGGTGGGTGGGATGATCATCCTTTTCTGCCCCTGCAGCCATCACAGGCATTTACATGTCCCTGTCGAAGGCTGGCAGAGCCCCTGCCCAGCTCACATACGGAGGGGGAATGCAGTGCACTGGCCTGTCCTTGGCCCTGCTGCCAGGGCCCCGGGGAACTGTGGGGCTGGGAACCAGGGTGAGGACCTGGGTGCTGAGCCAGCAGGAGCAGCAGTGCAGCCCTTGCACAGAGCTGCACATCCCACCAGCGAGGACCGTCTCTGTCCTGTCCCTGCAGCAGCTTTGCTGCCGGCTCAGGGGCTCTGCAGGACCCACACGTCCCCACCGCCCTGCAGACCGCATCGGCTCTGCCAGCACCTGCCCAGGGCCACGCTGCAGCTCCAGCGAGGCTGAGGGGGACACGGTGCGGCTGGTCGCGAGCCGGGGAGAGCCGCAGTGACCCACAAAGCCGCAGCTGCACTCTGTGCGCCCATCCCTGCATTTGTGCACACCCCTGCACCCATCCCTGCACTCGTGCACACCCCTGCACACCCCTACACCTGCAGACACACCTCTGCACCCACACCAGCTCGCAGCACCCGCCTGCCTTGCAACACCTCCCATGCCCAGGGCAGAGCGGGCAGCCCAGGGCAGAGGCAGACGAGTCCCTCTGCCCGCAGCGGGGCAGGGGACCAGGCCAAGCCGTGTG